CCTTGACCTAGTGTGTACTCTCTAGTATACCATGAGGGCATGTACTTCCTTAAATATTAAAAGGTTCATATTATGTTTATTTTCTAGATGCTTTTGATCAACCTAACACTTGCACATTAGGCATACACTGTATCGCTGATCTAGACACCCCCCGCACCATAAGAATGTTGTCATGATGTCAAAACAGGGCTCAATTTACAGAAGGGGTTGCTTCAGAGAACTGGGCCTGTACAGGAAAATCTTGCAAACATAAAAATACATAGGACACAAGGATGAGCTGGAGGACATGGAGAAGTGATGAACAGCCTTCAATGCAACACTTGCACATGGTAGGCACACACTGTGTCCTTGGTCTAAACACCCCCTACTCCATAAGAATGTTGTCATGATGAGGAAACAGGGTTCAATTTGCAGAAGGGATTGCTTCATAGAACTGGGCCTATACAGTAGATTCTTGCAAACATAAAAAGACACAGAACATGAAGATGAGCTGGAGGACAGGCAGAAGCAATGAACACCATGCAAGCACTGCCACTTCGTACTAGTATTATCCATGAAATCTCCCAAATTCACCACACCATATTATTTAGTAAAAACTTACCAGCTGCCAGGCACCTATAGCTCATGCCTATCATGCTAGCTACTGAGGAGGAAGGCAGTTGCCCAAAGTTATCCCAGGCAAATAGTTCACAAGACCCTATGTTGAAAAAAACCATCATAAAAAAGGTTGGTGGAGTGGCATAAGATGTAGGCCCAGTTCAATCTTAATACTGACATAATAATAAGAAAAAAAGAAGTTCAAGGTGATGAGAAAAGGATGCTGTATAAGACTGCCAGAGTAAGCAGTTTTGTAAATGTCACAAATGCCCCCAGTACAGCAATACCGTAATAAATTTAAAAGAACAGGTTGATCATGCATGAAAATGGAACAACGAGACTTACTTCAGTAAGTCTCTCTTTTCTCTAAGGAAAAGAAAGGGGGTAAAAAGGAGAATGATGGAGCAGATGATTGTAAATAAGATATACTGTAGGAACTTTTAGAATTCTCACAATGAATCCCTGGTACAAATTGTTATTATGTTACCAAATAAAATAAAAATTAAAAAAAAGACAGTACAAATCCAATAAAACAACTCAAACTGCATTTGGGCAATATTTAAGTATATGTTCACAACTCAAATATTATTAGGTGTGGGTCAATGTTTGAGAATGTTCCAAAGGGTACAGTGGATTGCAGATGGGACACTAAAGACATAAGCCAGTTTCCTCATCTGATAGGAAAACAGCCCAGATGTCATGACCTCTATGAGGTGCCCCTCAATTGGATTAGGCATTTCTGAGATCATGTTTCCATCTTTGTCTGATGTAGCAACCAGGACTTTACCAGCACCCACCATTTGCACAGTTTAGGACAGGAACACAAACCAACTAACTACAGAGAGACGGGCAGGTGAGCAGTGGCCCGGGGATACTCAGCACACAAGGGACCAGAGGAAAGATAAACACTATTACAAAGACTGGAAGGGGGTCTAGCAGAATAGCTCATAGGCCAAGTGGACATTGAGGTTGACAATTCCTGGTGATCCTTAGACAGGTGTATGAAGTCAGGAAAAGGGGGCAGAAGTAGTTATGTAGAACTGAGCAGTCACCCAAGTGGGAGGCAGGTGACCAAAAGAGACTTGATTAAGAAGACTGGCACAGATGATCCTCCCAAATCTGTAAGTTGAACTCATTATAGAACCAGTTGTTAGGGCTACTCAAGAAAGTGCACAGAGCTCAGCAGTAGCAACCACAAGACACAAACAGAAAAAAGTGGATAAGTTAGCAGAGCTCAACCACCAGTAGTGAGGAGGCAGTGCTGCTTCTGGGGAAAAGAAGGTGAGCACAGAGCAGAGTACAGATGAATGTGATTACTTTAGCTATGGAGGTTTAAGTGCAATGTTCTGCAGCCTCACATGGATGTACAGTCACCTCTGAGCTGTACTATAAGGAACTCCCATTCCTTCTGGGAGAAGGAAATGATCACATCTCAAAGGTCATGGAGCTCTGCCACGGTGAGAACAGAACATCTATGATCAGCTTCTCTCCTGGAAGTGATTCACATTGAACCAATCCATTCAACCAAATTCATCCTTTGTTTGCCCCACGTGTCACCCTCACCACTTCAGAAAGGATACCAGATGCCAGTGCTGCTGAGATACAGTGTCACCTCTGTGCATATTTCAGCACTGGTTCCTCCAACAGCACTAATGTAGTTGAGGAGGGAGACACAACCTAACTCCAGAAACTGGCACTTAGGACACTATTCACTAATGTCAGTCAATTGTACAAGTGTCCTCCATATATTACTGCTCGGTAATAACCTTTCAGCTTTGTGAAATCAATAGCAAGTCCACAGGACCAGATTCCAACAGGCTCCCTCCAGGTACACATCACGTTTTAGACCAGAGCTCTCTCAAACACACTCCCCAAGCAATTTCCACCCTCTAGCACCATGAATAGAGGTACTTCTCTGCCATCCCTATTCATGTAGGCATACATTATCCACACGCTGGGTATTAGAAATATGACACACTTCTGCCCATTGTGAGAGGCAATCCATAAACTACTCTGAAGACCACGATGCCTGTGCTCCTTCCAACAACCTTTGCCACTAAGAACTGTATTTGATTCCCAGCCTCTTTGGCACTCATCAGTAATGGTTTACTTGGTGTGTCTCACCAGTCACAACATCCTCACTTGGTATCCTACATTCTAAACCCTGTGCCAGTCGCCTTCCACCATAGGCCAATGGCTACCCTGGGTAACAATTTGTACCCAGGTAGTTATATAACCTGTAACTTCTCAGACAGCTCAAGGTTGTAACAAAATTCTACCAAGCAAAAAGCTGAGTGAATAAAATATCAGTGGTTCAAGTGCCTACTCTCAGCAGTTATTGTAGGCCTCTGATTCCAGCTCATGGATCTCTTCCTTTGAAAGCACTGGTAACCTGTAAGAGCATCCTGACTATTAGGACATACCCATGGTCTCTTCACGCATATACCTGCTTTTCTGATGGGGTCCATTCTCCCAACTGGTGCTATATTTGAAACCAGATCAACATAACATTTCAAGGCTGGCAAGAGCACATCATTGTATGATTAGGATTCCCCTTCTTATTGCAATCCACAAAGCACAGTTAAACCCCAAGGCAGACACTAGCCACTACCTTTGCATGCCTCCATCAGGAATTTTCTCCAGAGTTCCACACCTGCATGGTTACCTGGCCTGTTTATGTTTCTATCAATGTTTCTTTGAAACATTCACAGTCTTTCTTTACATCATATTATTGATTCATATTCCTAGGATGATGAAAACCCAATGGCTACATATCTACCCTAAAACTGTTCCTACAACTGACTTTCTTTTCTCAACTGCTAAAATCCAGAAAACTTAGATTCACCCTTGACATCCACCTGTTTCTTTACCCTCAAAATTAGAAAACTGGTATTAGTCCAATTTCCCAAAAACACCAATTTCTGGTGTCATGATAATGAACTTACTCCTTTCATAAAGAAGTAACCTGACCTCGAGTTGTGGTTCAAATGATAGAAGATCCCAGTACTACCAAAAAAGTAAAAGTAAAAAATAGAAAAAAGTTACCTGAATTAACCTGATATTAACTAATCAGGCACTGTCCTATTTTGTCTCCCTGTTCATCTTGCAAGGAAAGCAACTTTGGAATGACCAATCTGCATTTTGACTCAGTTCTTTCTTCTTTTCTTCACCGTACTGGTGTTTCAATTCAGGTCCTCATGCTTGCTAGGCAGGTGCTCTAGCACATTTTTGATGGGGTAGTTTTTGAGATAAGGTCTCTTGACCTATTTCTGGGGCTGGATTCAAAAGGCAATCCTCCATATATCTCCCTCTTGAAGAGCTAAGTTTACAGATGTGACAGACCACCATCTGGCTCTGCTTTCTTTAGCTATTGTCTATATATAAAACCAATATGTTTACCCAGTCCAAAGGTATACATAATCTATTTGAGAGAATGAAGCGTTTCTGGACACTAGAACCTAAAATAAATCCATTAAAATCTTTGTCCTGACACCAGAAAAGCCCAATTCATCAAGAGATCCAGGATCCATACACATTTCCCAACTCTTCACCAACCACACTACTCAATTCACCATCAAACAGGTCCATCACCTGGACCTTTGCAGCAGACTCTGACTTAAACTTCCTATAACCTCATTCACACCTCATAGTCTGATGACCTGCTAAGACCAGGGACAGATCCCCTTTCTCCTCTGTGACAATCTTACCTTTCTTCCATCATCTCTACAATAAAATCTTAACTTTCTACAGTCATTCTAGGCCCATCTGCAACACCCACATTCTCAGCTTCCATGAGAGAAATATCCTGAGGCTGGAAACAGTTCAGCCTCACTTCCCTGTATTTACATTCTGACATCTGTGCCTGGAATAACCTTTCACCCCTCATTCTACTAAAGCAAGCAATTCGAACCATTGTGCCTTGCACAGTGTGACTGGAACTAGAACACTGCACTGAGCTGTGATATATCATTCATGATAAGCAACACTGGATTCTCCAGGAAGTGGAAGATATCATTTTAGAAGCACCTAAAGGTTACTGATTCAAAGAACACACCATACATAGATTCATTCAGAGCATGCCTCCTATCTAGAAAGCAAAATAAACACTATGTAATGCTCTTCATGCACTATCAACTGAAGAGCTGGAGTGACACTGGGACACTTCATAGGTTTCTTTAGGAACAAGAGAGAAGACTCCAGGCCAGGTGGAGGTCCTGCCATCCAGGCTGCTTCTGAGGGTGTCACCTTTGGCTCAGTTTCAGGGTTTCCCCAAGGCCTGCAGGTATGGATTCCCACAGGCAGCCCGACCTTCCCACAGAGGTTCCTGCACCAGCAGGCAAGGCTGTCATGAAGGCTTTGCATTGAGTTAAAATCTTGAGGTCTGCTCATGAGTTACTGCTATGTCATAGTTGTGGGTCTATGTGGAGTTAACAGACCAATATTCTGATAAGGGAAAGGCACTCAATCATTTACTCTTGGTTTGTCTTTGGTTTTGAGGTGCTGTTCTTACAGACAACAGATCATTGGATCTTGCTTTTTAATCCAATCTGACAACCTGTGTCTTTTGACTGGAGAATTAAGTCTACCTACATTTAGGGTTATGATTGAGATTTACTGATTCCTGTGTTGTACTGTTTTTTTTTTCCAGATTGAAACTCATACTGATTATTCTTTAATTTTGGTTTTGTTCAACTTCAGGTTTTCTTTTCGTTTCATTCTGCCAGTTTTTAAATTTCCTGATTGCTTCAATTACCCACAAGTCATTCAAAAGCATGTGTTCATTCTGTAAGTGTATAGTTTCTCTTGCTATTGGTTTTTAATTCCATGCCAGTATACTCTGGTAAGAATCATGAAATTATCTCAATTTGTTTTATTTTTTTATGTAGCCTCCCCAAGGCTCCACCAGCAGAGAATGTCATGAAGGCTGTGTAGAGAGTTAGAACACTTCAGTCCTGCTCTAAAGGAACTGCTATCTATGATTATACATCAGTGGAGAGTTAGGGGACCGAAACTATGGCTGAGGAAAGGCAGAGCTGGTGGTCCAATCTGCAACCACCTTCTCCTGAGGGCATAAATTCACCGCCTCACTTGTCTGTCCTCTGTTCTCCCTCATTCCAACATGTAATTATTCAGCACCAAAATCCCAAAGTACATAGAAAATGGAAATATGATGTAAAATGATCACAGTCCACTTCCAGTCCTCACTGCTACAAACAGCTGCTCATAGTACCTTAGCAGTCTCTTTGTCCTGTTGCAGGAGGGCTCAGACAGAGACAGGGAGGGCACCAAAGCTTTTGGGAAGCAAGTTTACTAAGCAAGCTAGCAGTGACTCAGCGGACTCGAATCCAAAGGCTGAGCCCCGAGAAAAAGGCTTTACTTATATACCATTTATAGCAGTTTACCAAAATTAGGTGTGGGGGGTTAACAGCTTGTCCCATACAAAAACCACATGTTATTTTATTGGTTGCTTTAACCTCTGGATAGAGGTGATCATTCTCTTGTCTCCAGGTAACACTTCCTGACTCCAGTTTTCCTTTGTTTTACTGTAGCAGTCATTAATTTCCTTTTGCCCCTTCCTGCCTTTCTGCCACCCTCTGACTTTGTCTTTGCATCAACCTTTGCTTCCAAGAACCACATATGGATCTCAAACATCCTTGTCCCTAATTCACCTATAGTGCTACTCATGTCCCTCACTAGTGTCCCCTCACTAGTAATAGATTTTCTCCAGTAATTCTAATGCTGAGACAACCCTGAGTGGTCCTCCTCCATTAGTCCAATTCAACATTTCTAATGACAACTTGCCATAAACATGACTATTTGCCTTACTAAAAGGTCTAAGTTACACCAAGTTTCACCACAAATTGGTGAGTCTGAGGTGCAGCAAAAAACCAAAAGTCTTGGCTCATCATCACACTGCTAGGTTACACCCAGTCATCAACATCCACATCATATATGTTATCCATGTGCACCATGACCACAACTCTACCAGATCATCCTATCCCCACACGATTCTATGGCCACATCTGCACACCTTGCTTATGGTGCCCATCACCTACACCCAGGGGTTGGGACTTAACATCCAGTTCACCTCCCTTTTATAAGCATGAGATAACACTGAGTTTGGATTCCTGGTGCTGAGTTTAGATGATGTCTGTCTGTCCATCTTCTGCTGCAGAACAACACAGTGATCAACGCAACCATCAGTTGGCAATGGCATTAGGGGTGGAGGAACCACCACCTTCCTCTTAGTAGCTTAAGAAATCAGGCTGCATGGGCTGAAGGCCTGGCTAAGTGCAGCACCAAGCCCACAGTTCAATGCCCCAGTACATCAAACAAACAAAAAAAGGTGGGGTGCGGGTGGGAGAGGGTGCTTAGGTCAGTAGTCAAGCATTGAGTGCAGAAAGATGTACTTATGATCCCCAGACACCTGGACACAAAGAATGAGTATACAAGCTCAATCAGGAGGCGCAAATCCAGTTCTACCACTCAGATGGGTTGAGGGCAGTTTGGTGGGAAAACTATGAATATACCTGACCCAGGTTGCTTCCTGACACAGGTGTTTAATTCCTATGTCACACTGTCAGGGAGCATTTGATGCTAGCACTGTACCGAGTATTTGCAATGTTCAGTAATCCCATGTTGAGTACACTATTTGCATCCTCATGCTTGGTGGTAAAGGTTAGTTACCTTTACCTAAAGGTGGTAAAGGCCCATGTGCACATGGCTTGGTGTGCAGTGTTACCCTCTTATTAATTGGTGGAATAATGGACCTTAGACAACACAGATCTTTCCATAATCTTGAGAAATGATCTTTTTCAGATTCCTTGGGATTATGTGACATCTGATGTAAAACATAATGCATAAATTCATACTATTCAGACGCAGTAAGTGCTGGCCTAAAAAGTGACCACTCTTCAGATGACCTCATAAAATATGGAAGCTTCCAGGTCACAAGTTAGGAGCAGAAAAGTATCCTTTTCTTTTATGGGTAGTCTTTGACCATCATCCACATTATCCAAAACCTCTCTCAGAAACTACCATTAGCCATTACACACTGCCTACTGAGGTACAAAGAATTGAGGGTTCCAAACAACTGTTCATCACCTCACATACACAGAGATGAATTCTATGTAATGTGACCTATTTCAGTTAACAGACAAAGCAATATTAAAGGTAGATGCAAAAAATAAAGCCTTTATTACTGCACAAACCCTAGCAATCTCAGGCAGAGTTACCAATTAGAGACTTGATGGTAGAAGTATCAACTACAAGTATCATATAAGACCAAAATCATCCAAGAAACTAAGCCTTCCTTGCAAGCCTGTAGTTAACCAGAACTGAGTACATTTGGTCATAGAAATATCATAACATGGCAAGATCACACAACAAAGCAAATAAAGTTGCCCAAAGGATTTGCAACAGAAGAAATACACGTATCTTCCATACCTTAGCATGTCATGGTAGTTTTTTGTTATGTTTTGTTTCTTTCCCCTGAAGTTCATGGTGGTAGAAGTAAATGGCATTTCTAAAATAGTACAGAAATTACTTCCTTCTGGTCAAGGCCTTGCAGAGTCCAGAACCTGAAGAACAATTCTTATAATGCTCACCCAATGTACAAACTCCGAAAGCCTTACTGCAGTGTGGCCTTTCTCGTGGACAGCAAGGGCCTACCTTAGATTAAAGGATTGCTCACATTCTCTACATTCATAAGGCCTTTCTACATTGTGGCCTCGCTGGTGTACAATTAGGTACTCTATGTTTAAAGGACTTCCCACATTCTTTACACTCAAAAGATCTTTCTTCATTGTAAATCTTCTGGTGATCAGAAACACAATGAGCCATTTCGTGGTACAGACATTAAATCTGCCAAAATCACCACAAAACTATATTCAGTAAAATCTTGCCAGCTGGTGATAAGTGAACTGTGTGGAAGACTGCTTGAGTCTGGGTTGGGAAAAACAACTCAAGTTGCTTTTCAAAATACATGTGCACAACTCAGAATCATAACAGGGTTTTCCTCACTGAAAGATTTCTTGTGATAAGAAAGACTGATTGTGTGCTCAAACACATTCACACATTCTTCACTCACTAGGCCTTTGTCCACTGTGGACTTTCTAGCATAAATTAAGGGTCCTTGTTTAAAGAATTTCCCTCATTGTCCACACTCAATAAACCTGCATCTGTGTGCACTCTCAGGTGTACCAAAAGGGTACCTATGTCCAGAAAGGATTTTCCACATTCTCCACATTTATAAGGCCTTTCTCCAGAGTGAACTGTTTGATGGTTTCTAAGACCAGATCTTCCCTTAAAGGATTTTCCACATTCTCTACATTTATAAGGCCGTTCTCCATTGTGGACTCTCTGGTGTTCAGTAAGTTCACGTCCTTGCTTGAAGGATTTCTCACATTCTCTGCACGCATAAGGCCTTTCTCCAGTGTGGACTTTACGGTGTACAGTTATACCACTTATGTACTTAAAAGATTTTCCACATTCTGTACACACATAAGGCCTTTCTGCAGAGTGAACTCTCTGATGTCTTGTAAGAACAGATCTCCCCTTAAAGGATTTCCCACATTCTGCACATTCATAAGGCCGTTCTCCACTGTGGACTCTCTGGTGTTCAGTAAGGTCACGTCCTCGCTTAAAGGATTTCCCACATACTCTACACTCATGAGCCCTTTTTCCAGTGTGGACTCTTTTGTGTACAACAAGGTTATGTCTTTCCTTAAAGGAATTCCCACAATCTCTACACTCATAAGGCCTTTCTCCAGTGTGGATTTTCCGGTGTTTATTTATATCACTTATGTACTTAAAAGATTTCCCACATTCTCTACATTCGTAAGGCCTTTCTCCTGTATGAACTCTCTTGTGTGCAACAAGAGCCTTGCTTTCCTTAAAGGATTTCCCACAATCTCTACACTCATAAGGCCTTTCTCCAGTGTGGTCTCTCTGGTGTACAATAAAGGCAATTCTTGTCTTAAAGGATTTCCTACATTCTCTACACTCAAAAGGTCTTTCTCCAGTGTGAACTTTCCTGTGTTCTTTAAGTACATGCAGTTGCGTAAAAAATTTTCCACAGTCTGTACACTCATAAGGCCTTTCTCCAGTGTGGACTCTCTGGTGTACAATAAGGGAATTTCTTTGCTTAAAGGATTTTGCACAATCTCTACACTCATAAGGTCTTTCTCCAGTGTGAACTCTATGGTGTACAATAAGGGCCTTTCTTTCCTTAAAGGATTTCCTACATTCTCTACACTCATAAGGCCTTTCTCCAGTGTGAACTCTCTGGTGCTGACCAAGTGAGTAGACATCATGTAAGTTTTTCTCATGCTTCCTATTCTCATAAAGCTTTTTTGCATTGTGGAGTGTCAGGTTATAAAAAGCCACATTTTTATGGCTGAAAGCCTTGTTGCTGTTAACCAAACTGGAACAACTTTTTCCATTGTTAAAGGTCTCCTCTAATTCAGCATCATTTGTCCTCTCACCATTACAAATGACATGGGTCTTCGGAAGGTCAAAAAGAGCTGGGAAATTCTTCCAAAGGTCGTTACAATTGAACAATTTCCTGGACACAAATAATTCACAGCTCTTCTCAAATGAAGTCCTGTCCATGTCCCACTTCAAGAGATTTTCTGCAGTGTGATGCTTCTGGACTAGGCTTGCACATTCTCTAGTCATGTACAGCTTCTGCACAAGTGGAGCAGCCATGTGTAAAATGTCTTTCAAGACAAAGGTACAGATGTCACAGAGGTGAATCTTCTGGGTGGATGGAACTGCCTTTGGAGTCCTCAAGTGTGACACCTCTTCCAGACAAACAGTGGGCATCAATGCCTCCTTATCATCTACTCTATGTACACAACCTAAAAGCAGAGAAAGCACAATGAAATGCATGCAGACACTGGTGGGAGCAGGGCCAAGCCATAATATTACAAGGGTTGTAAGCTTTTTATTAATTATGGACTTGCTGAGAGAAGCCCAGGGCTAGTGTGTAGCATAAAATGCATTGTATCACTGATGTACACATCCTGCACTATAGGAATGTTTTTAGAAAATAGAACAGGGCTCAATTTGCCCAGGGGTTTGCTTCACACAACTCGCTTCTAAACACAGTGGAATCTTGCAAACAGCATGGGGCAGGAGGTGACATGGAGGATAGGGATAAGTGGCAAAATGCCTTCAGGTAATGCCACTCCATGAATTACAATGAAAATGTCCCAAATCACTGCAGGGTCCTTTTTTTTTTTTTTTTGTCTCTTTCAGGTACAGGGGCTTGAATTCAGGGCCTACACCTTGAGCCACTCCAGCAGCTCCATATACTATGTCATATTATATTAAAGTGAAACAATAAGAATTGTTGAAATGGCTCTACAAATACAAGGAGAATTGAAAAAGGAGAAAGATGGGGATGGTAGTGAATCTAAGATATACTGTAATCACTTTTGTAAAAGTCACAATTCACTGTAGTATAACTATAGTATGTTAATTTTTTTAAAAAAGATCTAAATTTAGAAAAAAGCCTGAGGCACATTGTCCAAAAAGCTTGAACTACACATGGGCAATACTGAAGGATATGTTCTCATCTAAAAGCAAGTTAGGTGTGGGTCTCTCTCAGAAAACACTCCAGAGGGCAGAGTGCATTACATATAAAACACTAAAGACAAAAGAGAATTGCCTCACCAAATAAAAACAATCCAGATGTCATGACCTCCATCAGGTATCCATTAATTGGACCGAACATATCTGAGATCATCTTTTTATGTCTATCTGATGTAGTTACCAGGATTTTTCCAACACCCCACTCTCACAGTTTAGGAGAGGTACACAAACCAACCACCTACAGATATAGGACATAACCTTTCGGCAGTGGCCCTGGGTAACTAAATACTATAGAAATGGAGGAAAACACCAATATTACAAAGACGACTGGAAGGAGGTCTGACTGAACAATACAATGGCCAAGTGTTGAGCAACACCTGGTGATGATCATGCAGACAGCTGTAATGAAATGTCAAGAAAAGAGGCATAATAAGGCATAGGGGCCTAAGCAGGTATCCAGTCATGGAGGAAGTGAGCAAGGCAAGACCTATTAAGTACTGTCAAACACCCTTCTGCCAAATCGGTACTTGTGTTCATTATAACAGCAGCTGTTAGGAAGCTCAGGGAAATGCACCAGGCTCAGCTGTAGCAACCACAACACACCCACAAAAAAAGTAAGTAAGTTAACACAGCACAACACCTAGCATTGAAGAAACATTTGCTTCTGGGAAAAAGATGAGAAAAGATGAGAGTTTGGGTGAGTGCGATGGACTTACCTACGGAGGTTACAAGTGCAAAGTTCTCCAGCATCACATGAAGGTACAGGCGCCTCTGAGCTGCATTAAGGAACTCCCATTCCTCCTGGGAGAAGGAAATGGCCACATCTTCAAAGATTGCACAGCCCTGCCATGGTTAGAATAAAGAACCTATGAGGAGCTACTCTCCTAGGAGTGATTCCATGTTGATATAATCCATTCCCCTACATCCCTCCTCTGGTACCCTATGTTTCACCCTCACCACCCCAGAGAGGCAATTAGGAGCCAAGCTCCTGAGATGGAGTCTTTCCTCTATGCATATTGATCACTTTTCCTCCAACATCACTGGTTGGACGTGAGTGGGCAGACATAATCTAACTCCTGGAATGGGCATACCGAGCTGTATTCACTCATGCCAGTCAATTGAACAAATGCAATTGTTCAGAGACAACCATATGTGGGCTCACCTTTCATCTTCATGTCATCAACAGCAAGTCCACAGAACCAGCATTTCCTATGCTCCCTCCAGGTGCACATCACGTTTTAGTCCATAGCTCTCACACACACAATCCTCACCTATTTTCACCTTCTAGTCCAACAATGTAGGTACTTCTCTGCCCTCCTTATACTCCTCAGTGCACCCTATCCAGAGTGGTTGGTGAAAATTGGACACAGTTGTGCCCACTGTCAGAAGCAACCCATGCAGTACTCTGAAGGCTGATGCCTGTGCTCCTAATTATGCCATTAAGAACTGTCATCGATTCCCTGACTCCCATGGTCCATACCATTAATGGTTTACTTGATGTCTCTCACCAGTCACAACTCACCAACTATCCTTCATTCCAAACCTTGTTCCACTCGCCTTCCACAGAGGCAAGTGGCTCTTCCAGGTAGTGACTTGGCCTCTCAAATTTAAGCAACCTGAAAGTTCTCAGACACCTCAAGGGTTATAAGAAAATTTTATCAAGACTGTAGCTGAGTGAATAGCAGAACCATCTGTGGTTGAAGTGTCAACTTGCAGCAGTTATTCTAGCCTTCTGATTCCATCTCAAGGCCTTCATCCTTTGGAAACAATGGTAACCTATCAGACCATCTCTCAAATGCTTGTTTTTGTGATGGACACCATCCACACCAGGTATTATATTTGAAACCCAGATCAGCCTCATCTTTCAAGGTTGGAAAGAGCACAATCATCCCATGGTTACGATTACCCTTCTGTACTGCAATCAACAAAGGCACAGATGCACCCCAAGGCAGACCCTGGCCAACAGCTTTTGCATGTCTTCATCAAGAATTTTCTCCAGAGTACATTTGTATGCACACCTGTCCTCTTCATGTTTCTATTAATGCTTCCTGAAAGATTCATACTCTTAACATGGTAAAAATTCAATTTGTTGGTATATCCACTAAAATTGTTCCTACAACAAATTTTTTCTTCTCAACTGCTAAAAAATCCAGAAATCTTACATCACCCTTAACATTCACTTTCTTTCTTTACCCTTAAAATCAGAAAATCTGGGGCTAGCACAATTTTCCAAAACGGCCACTGTTTTTGGAAAGGATATTGAAGTAAATCCCTAAATTAAGAAGTAACCAAAGATGGAGATGTGCTTCAAGTGCCAGGGGCACCAGTATCACCATACCTAGAGATAACAAATTATCCACAGTCCTTTTGTGTTTCTGTTTCCCTCTTCATCTTACTAGGAAAGAAGTTTTTGGATAGCCAATCTGCTTCTTTTTGTTTTGCTTTCTTTACTCATTCTCTGAATATGAAAACAATTTCTTCAATCCATTCCAATGGTACACCTATTCTATTTAACCGAATGAAGTGTTGCTGGAAACCAGAAGGTAAATTAAATCAATTTAAGATCTTTAAATGAAATTGTTCTAAGTTTCTTCCTTGACACCAGAAAATACCTAGTTAATCAGGAGATCCAGGATCCACCCACATTTTCCAATTATTCAGCACCTACACTGCTCCACACACCAGCAAACATTACCTGGACATTTGGAAGAACCTAATTTTCCTATTAACTCACTCACACACCACAGTCTGTTTTCTTTGCTTTACTCACAGGGAACCTTTAAGAACTGAGTGGGGTCAGATCCCTTTCCTTTACTGTCCCAACCTCCCATTGTTCCCACCATCTTCACAAGAAAATCTTAACTTTCTACAAGCCATTCCAGGCCCATGTGCTACACTCACATTCACAGTTCCCATGAAGAAAATACCCTGTGGTCCCCAGAAACAGTTCAGCCTTACCTCCCTGCATTTGCATTCTGACACCTATGCCTGGGATGACCTTTACCCCACATTCCACTAGTTGCAAGCAATGCCAGCTACTGTGCCTTATGCAGTGTGCCTGGAGTTACAACCCTGGACACTGGGTTTTTCAGAGTTCCTAGGCTCAAGGGCTGAAAGAGTGGCAGAGAAGTGCCAGAAATAATCCAGAGATACTGTGGGAGATCAAGGGTAGTGAGAGACCAGAACATTCTCCATTCAGTGCCAATCACGAGTGTCTCAAGCTCTCTTGTAGACAAGGAAGTCTGTTTTGAATGACAGGCAGATGAAGAAACAGGCCTCCAGAGAGTCAGTCAACCCTGGGGCCAGGAGGCCTGGATCACGGATCAAGTCCCTCAAATGGACTGAAAATTTCTGAGATCTTCTTTCCATGTCTACCTGAGAAAGCAATCAAGATTTTTCCAGTACCCCACTTGCACAGTTCAGGACAGGTATACAAACCATCTCCCTAAGGAGTGGACCCAGGCAACTCCACATATAAGAAACAAGAAGGAACAAAAACAGTATTACAAAGAAGACTGGAAGGAAGTCTGGCAGATTAGCCCATGGCCCATGAAGATTAATCATGGCAATGCCTGGTGATCCTTAAACAAACAGCTGTATGAAAAGTCAGGAAGAAGGGGGCACAACTAGGCCTATATACCTAACCAGTTACAATGTTCAGGTGCAGGTGACTGAAGCAAGACCTATTAAGCTAACTGCCACACATCTTTCCCCTCAATCTCTGCTTGCACTCATTATAGCACCAGCTACTAGGCAGCTCAGGGAAGTGCACAGGGCTCAGCTGTAGCAACTACAGCACACCCACTAATAAAATGTGTACATTAACACACCCCAACAACTAGCACTGAAGAGACAAAGCTGCTTATGGGGAAAAGCATACGAGCAAAACCAGAGTATGGGTGAGTGTTACGGCTTTACCTATGGAAGTTATAAGTGCAAATTGAGCTGCACTACAAAACTTCCACTACTCCTGGGAGAAGGAAATGATTACATTTTCTAAGGTCACACAGTCTTGTCATGTTTAGAACAGAACATCCATGATCAGCTTCTCTCCTAAAAGTGATTCCATGTTGAACCAACCCATTCCCCAACATCTATTGGATGTTTACCCCATGTGTCACCATCACTATCTCAGAGAGGATACCACATGCCAGTGCTCCTGAGGCAGTCTCTCCCGTATGCATATTTGATCACTCTTTCCTTTAACACCACTAATGCAGTTGAGGAGGGAGACACAATCTAATTCCTGGAATTGGCATACAGGGCAATATTCATTCAAATAAGTCAACTGCACAAGTGTCCTCCAGATATTACTGCTCAGTGATAACCTATGTGGGCTCACCTTTCAGCTTCATGTCACAGGAAGTCCACAGGATCAGCATTTCCCTCCTGTGGTCACTTTTTGGACCATAGGTGTTGCACACACATGCTCTCCAACTATTTCTACCCTCTGGCTTCATAATTATGGTACTTCTGTACCCTCCCTATTCATTTAGGCATACAGTATCCATAGTGTAGTAGTCAACAGTACTACACTAAACTGTGTAGAACACAGTTTTGCCCACTGTCAGAGGTAACCCAACACTACTCTGAAGGCTACGATGACTATGCACCTTTGCTACAAGAAGTTAACCCTCACATTCCTGGTGGCCCTCACTAATAATGCTATACTTGATATCTCTCACCAGTCACAACATCCTTACCTAACCTATACCTGAGTGAATAAAAGGACTATCTGTGATTGAAGTGTCAACTCACAGCAATTATTCTAGACCTCTGATTCCATCCCCAAATCCTCATCCTTTGAAAGTTCTGATATTCTGCCAACCATACTGACTGCTAGGGTGTTCCCATGACCTCTTCTCTCCCACACCTGTTTTGTGATCGGCTCCACCCCATCCAGGTGGTGTACTTCAGACCCAGATCAGCTTAATCTTTCAAGATTGTCAGAACACAATCATCTCATGATTAGGATTCACCATTCATACTGCAATTGACAGAGTCACAGATATACCACAAGACAGACACTGGTCACCACCATTCCCATGTCTCCATCAGGAATTTTCTCCAGTGTTTCACACCTCTATGGACATCTGTTCTCTTCAGATTTCAGTGATGCTTCCTTCAAACATTAACACTCTTTAGATGGTGAAAATCCAAATACCTACTAAACTTGTTCCTACAACAGACATTGTTTTCTCATTTGCTAAACATTCAGAAATCTTAGATTCACAGTAACACTCACCCTTCCTTTACCCACAAAATCAGCAAATCTACTGTTCATATAATTTCCCAAAAAGGCCAGTTTCTGAACAGGATAATGAATTTAATTTCTACATGAAGAAGCAACCTGAGATGGAGGTGTGGCTAAAGTGATAGAGGCAGTTCAAATCCCAATTCCACCAAAAATAAATAAATAAATAAACAAAGCTAATGCAAAAATAACCTGAAATACCCTGATGTTAACAAATCAGCTATTGTCCTTTTCTGTCTATCTTTTCATCTTTCAAGGAAAGCAACTTTGGGATTTACAATCTGCTTTTTTCTTGTTTCATCTCTGCTTTCTTTAGTCATTCTCTGTATATGAAACCAACTTCATCAACCCAGATCAATGATACACTTACTCTTTTTTATGGAATGAATTGTTGTTGGACACTAGAACCTAAAATAAATCCATTTGAGATGTTTAAATGAAATTCTTTTAACTTTGCGTGATGACACCAAAAAGTTCTAATTAATATAGAGATGCTGGATTCACATACATTTCCAAATTCTTCACCAACCATACTGCGCAAACCACAATCAAACATCACCTGGATCTTGGCAGCAGCCTCCTTGCTAATCTTCCTATTACCTCATTCAAACTTCACAATCTGTTCTCCATGTTTTACTCACAGGGAACCTGCTAAGACATGAGTCACATCCACTTCCTCCTCTGTGCCCACTGCCCATTGCTCCCATCATCTCCACAAGAAAATCTTATTTTCTATAAAGCCATTGTGCCACACTCATGTGTGCGGCTCCCATGTGAACAATATCCTGGAAACAGTTCATCCTCCTTACTGCATTTGTACATTCTGACATCTGTACCTGGGATAACCTTCCTCCCCTATTCCACTAGTTCCAAGCATGCCAGCCACTGTGCCTTACACAGTGCATGGAATTGCTACTCTAGACTCAGGGTTTTTGAGAATCCCTAGGCTCAAGGGATGAAACAGTGGCAGGAGTCCCAGACATAACCCAGAGACAGAGTGAATGAGGGAATAGAACATTCTCCACTCAATTTCAATCACATGTTTAGGGGCACAAGTTGACAGGGGAATAACCAAAATGATCTCCATAGGCGCAGTCCACACTGGAGTCAGGAGGCCTAGATCATGGAATTAGCTGAACCTCAGTCCTAAATGCTGACCCTGAAATGCTCTGAGAAACAGCACAGGAATGAGTTTCCCTGTACTTCAGTGTCATCATCTGCCTTCTTTTAACTGGGAGCAGCTTTTGGAAAACTTTGAAAAGCCTAAAGGAGACAAGGTACCTCTTCTGTTCACAATATACCATGGCTACTGGCACACTTAGAATAAAGGTAAAATGCCTCTACTCACCAACATGCTCCCAACTCCCTCAACAGGACTTACACACAGTGGTCCTGCTGCCAGGAACACTCACCAGCACTAAAAACACTTGGATTTAAATTGATTTCCTCATGCACAGGGTCTTCACCATTATCAACAAAGGACCTAAAATTTAGTCACAGTGGCAGGTACCTCACCAGGCCCTATTCTAGGGTGCAGTGATATTATGGATCCCTGACTATGAGACCAAATCCCAAGCTAGGTCCCTCAGCATGGCAGGTGGCATCAGACACTACAGGTGGATCAGGACTCTCTATAACTGTTGTGTTGTGCAGCTATCATGATTTCAGCTATTGGTAAATGATACTGATTCAAAAGGACACACCATGCATAGATTCATTCAGACAGTCTGCATGCCTCCTACACTGAAGGCAAATGAACACTATGTACAGATTTTAATGTGGTGTTTACTGAAGAGCTGGTTTGACATGGGGGCACTTCAGAGGGTAAATTAGGAACAGGAGGGATGACCCAAGGCCAGGTGGATATCCTGCCCTCTACACTGGTCCTGAGAGTGTTCATTTGGCTACATTTCAAAGCTTCAACAGGGCTTTGAGAGAAACAGAATCATACCAGCAGCTCCATCCTCAAATTGAGGCTCCTCTACCAGCAGACAAGGTTATTAAGAAGACTGTGTAGAGAGTGTAGGTCTGCCCATGAGTAAGTGCTATCTCACAGTTATGGAATAGGGGGAAGTTACCAGACCAACATTCTGGCTGTGAAAAGGCAGTGTTGCCTCTACTGGGAAGTTTAATCTACGTTCACGTTCTCTCTCAGGACTCCAAGTTCACTGCCTCATTCATCCATCCCCTGCTCTCCCTCATGCCAAACTCTCTATCTCACAGGGGATAACAGATTCCAGTTAAAACTGAGACCACAGATGCTTGCTCTCAGCTAATGGTAGCATTGATCTCTGTGTTGTTCCACACCAGCAAGGAGATAGAGAGACATCAGCTAAATTAACAGCCCGGTATCCAAACTCAGAGGAGTCTCACAAAGGCACTCCTGGGGAATCCAGACTCACCTGCAAGATGTTATGTCACCCTTTATTCATATACTCAATTCCAGGACCCTAAGGACATTATTCCACAGGACTCCTCCACATTTCTTAAGTCCTCCTAATCATCCCTCACAATGCCCAACATCCATAGGTACTCCCACCCACTCCCACTTCCAAGGGACATCTCTGATGTTCCTATATGTAATTCAACAGCAGGTATCCAGACTACAAAGAAAATAGGAATATGATCTAAAATGATCCCAGTGCATTGCCAATCCCCAATGCCACAATCAGCCTCACAACCTAGTCTACATGCCTTCCTTCCTGACTCTCTTCTTGCTTCATCCTCAGCCTCCAAGAGCCACCAATGGATATGAAGACATCCTTGGCCCTATACCACCCATTGTGCCATTCTCATACTCTCTCTAGTTACAGACTTTCTCCCTCCAGTTATTCTCATTCTGCGACTAGCCTGTGTGGTCTTCTTCTTCAGGCCCATTCACAGTAGTTTATGACCATGGTGCCCTAAGGAACTACATACACCTCTTGAAAGACCCTAGATACCAAGGCTCATCACAAAATTGGTGAGTCTGAAGTGCAGCAAAAAAGCAAAGATCTTGGCTACAGCATCACTTTGCTCTTTTACACCCAAACATCAGCACATCCACACAGGTGCACAATCCAAGGCACCATGAGGACACCATACCAGACCGTCCTGTCCCCATACGCTCAGTGTTCACATCTGCACACCATGTTTACGGTGCCCATCACCACACCTGGGGGTCCTAGCTTGACCCTCAATTCACCTCCCTTTCTGAGTATTATGCGACTCTGCCGAGTTTGGATTCCAGGCTCTGAGTTTAAATGATGTCTGTCTGTCCATCTAGTGAAGAACAACACCGGGATCAGTGCTGCCATCATTGGGAGCGGCATTAGGGGAGGAGGAGCCTCCCCAAACTCATTTAGCAGATTAATAAATCTGGACACCGCGGCCTGGAGGACTGGGTCAAATAGTAGCGCCCCTGCCTTGAAAGCGAGATGCCCTGAGTTCAAACCCAAGATCCTCAAAAAAAAAAAAAAAAAATTAAAAATTGGGTGTAGGTTAAGTGGTAGACCATTTGAATGCAGAGACGCTCGCACCAAATCACCATGTGACATGGACACAAAAACTGGAGTGTAGAGGCTCAATCAGGAGCCCAAAACCGTGACCTATCACTCGGGTGGTCTGAGGGCAGTTTGGTGGAAACACACGGTATTTACCTGATTCACGTTCTTCCCTGCAGAGGCCGCCATGCTGTTCAGAGGCTACGGGAGTAACAGGGAAAGGCCGTCACCACAAACGTCCTTCGGAGAAGCCGCGGTGCACTAGGAACAAGCCATCCCGCCACGTCCTTGCTTTTCCACTTGCGTAATCTTGATCCTGACTCCACTTTCCTCCAGTGAGAAAAGACGCACAGAGCCCATATTGTACACAATGGCGTCACAAGAGACCGGAAGTCCCACCCCAAACGAAGCTGCAAACACGGAAGAGGTACCGTCCTGAATGTTCATTGGCTAAGCGTCTTTGTTCTCTGCCGTGCTTTCTGGGTAACGTAGTTCCAACAGCTCCATGGGAAACAAAGGGTGACAAGTGGACCTGCAATCCCCTGGAACAAAGACAAGAGGGTCCGGGTGGGACACTGGAAATTCCATCTTCAGCTTTCTCCCAGGGCTTCATGTCAGCCTTGGCAGATACCTGTTCTTTTCTAAATCCCTCCTTATTTAGTCTCTAGGAGAACTCCAACCTTATCTATCTCTGCAGCCTGCTGGGTCTGGCAGAAGGGTTGCAAGGGAGGCCTCTGCAGGAGGCAGTACCTCCTGTAGCTCCCAGGGCAGTACCTCCTGTAGCTCCCAGGGCAGTACATCCTGGACGCCCCAATCAGGCCTGGGTCTGTGGAAGGGATTGAGCCCTGAGTCAGGCCTGGGACTGAGCTTCTGAAGCCCAGGGCTGGACAAAGCACCAAGCTGGAAGCTGGTTTTTACTTCCTAATCTGAGCTTAGGGCTCTAGGGCAAAGTTGGAAACAAACATAGGGACTCAATTCTGAGTCCACAGTTCCCTGCCCTGTGCTCCAAGATCCCACAATCCTTCCAAGGTAATGTAACACTGTTCCCCATACCCATTGTTCATGGTGTGAGTTTCCCCTTTCTTACTGTCCTCTCATAGTTGCTATCATGGATCGCACATGGCTCCTCACACTTCTAGCATATCTGTCTGTTACTGCATTCAAAGACTTGGTCTCCACAGGGAATGAATTTATGGACTGACAGGAAATGTAAACAGGAGAAGGCTTATTAGTGGAAAGCAAAGGGAAAGTATACCCTTTAGGTAAGAGGGCCTGCAAGCTTAAGAAACAGCACTGTTCTATGGGTTAAATGTAAGAGGTGCTCAAATTTGCTTCTTCTATAAGCACTGACCTCTTACATAAGCCCACAAATTAACTAAAAACAGGAGAAGCTTGGCATTCCTGCCTCCATTTTGTATCTATCTTGCTCTAAGCCATTCTCTTTGTAGTCATTTTCAGAAAGGACAGAACTGATAATATTTTCATGACAAGGGAAACTTCCCATAAGGAACAGCAGAGACTTGCAGAACAGAGCACGGCTCCAAGCAAGGACAATTACTTATAGTACAATTAACTGGCTGCACCTTGGAGGACGTATAATCATCTCATGAAGAGCAGATTGCTCCCCTCAGGTGATGATGGGATAGCATCTTCTCTAGAACCCCTCTGGGAACCTTTGGACTGAGATAATGGTCAACGAACATAATTGTGACTGGGACTGTTTAACTATGCATACATTTGCCCCATAACCCCTTTTTTTGTATACTTAAAGTTGTAACTCATATCTGTACCTTAAATGGCTGAAGATGAGCTGAGTACTTACTCTGCCTCTTCCCACAGCATGTCCCAAGACTTGTAATAAATTTTCCTCTGCCTTCACCATGCACCTATATTTGGCATTTGGGTGGGGGGTGGTTACTGAACATGGCATATGGAGTCTTATGCCATATAAGAGTTTGGGGCTTAGGACCAAAACTCTGCTTTCACTAAGACCTCAACTTTTCATTAGGTTCTGTTGATATGCTGTTGACCAATCTGTGAAAACTGGGTTATTGTCCTGAAACAGGGTTATCCATCAGTAAGTCCTCCTGAAACAGATGGTAGGGGCCCACCTATCCCTGAAAGAGTGAAGCAGAAGTTAAGAATTGCTAGAACACTATTAAATATTGTTAAAGTACTTTTGCTGATAAGTCTTTTTATAAACACCCATTTGAAAGTTCTTTGTCCTTGAAATAAATTGAGATGTTGGCCAAATATGTTGAGATGTTGAACTTCAGGTCAACAGAACACCAACTGTTACATCATCCACTTCCATCAGTCAAGACATTTCCACCTAGTAAAAGACCTATGATTAGTAGAAACACAATCCTTCATTTGCATAGCACACTGTAGGACAATTGGTGCATAATTAAAGGGACTGATGTGATTGGTAATGATTACCCTTGTTCTCTCCCATATGTGTTTAATTAATTGAAAAAAATCTAAAGAAAAATAATGTTTCATGACAAGCTAAAGTCATATGAAATTTATATTTTAAGAGTCATCCTCTGTACCTGCATGTCACAAAGTTTAGTTTGTGGTCAGTGGTCACTCAAAGGAGTGTAGACAAAAGGACTAAGAGACACAGAGAGAGGAATTATGACATGGGGCCAAGAGATGGTTTTATGGCATGGTTTACATTTAGCATGTATGCTACAGGACAAGTAAATTTTGCAGATGCAGTGGCTCACACCTGTAATGTGAGCTCCTCAGGATGCTGAGATTGGGATTGACAAGGTTCAAGACAGGCCAGGATTAAATTCCAGACCATATTCAAAAAACAGCTAAAGCAAAAAGCTTGGGGGAGTGGCTCAAGTGGTAGGGCACCTTTCTGAAAAGTGGGAGCCAGACGGGGGTTAAGGGTAGGGAGAGGGAGACAAAATAAAACTCCAAAGGGGTGACACAGCAGTTACCTGGAGTGGCACACTATGCCACTCCTGGACATTAAGCCTGGCTATAATGAACACATACTGCTTGCTGGCTGGTTACTGGTCCCCCAGGCCTGGCCAGTCTCAGCTGTGCAGGCATATACAACTTGGTCATCTGAGGGGTTGGATGGTCTGGGTTGGCCTCCTTGTCAGGCTTGGAAGCTTCTGTATATCTGCTGGGGAGGACATGTGAGACCAGACCACATCTCATTCCTGGCACAGCAGCTCAGGCTATGGTGACAAAGTTCACACAACAGAACTTTATCACCTCAAGATTCTAGAGGCTGGAATTGTGAGGTCAAGGTATGAGTGAGGTGTGTTCCTTCTGGTGGGGATGAAGAAGAATCTTTCCAAGCCTTTCTCCTTGACTGTCTCCTCCCTGTGTCCTCATATTGTGTTCCTTTTGTGAATGTGCTTAAATTATTTTTCTTCCTCCATCCCCTTCCCCTCCCCCCTCCTCCTCCTCCTTTATCAGGTAGGGTCTCATTATGTAGGTCTGGCCTCAAAGTCTTGATCCTCCTCCCTCAACATCTTGAGTGCTGGGATTACATGTATGCACCACCATACCTGGCTTTAAATTTCCTCTTCTCCAGAGGACACTAGTTACACCAGATTAGAGCCCACCCTAATGTCCTCATTTTGACTTCATTATCTCTATAAAGACCCTGTCTCTGAATGTTGTCATATTCTGAGGTATTGGGAGTTAGGACTTCAACATATGAATCTTGAAGGGACACAACTCAGCCCACAGCCATATCTCAGGGGTTCAAGGCATGAAGAACTATACATGGCATCTAAGATGTTCCTACATCTCAGGAACACACATAATGTTCCTCCCATTGTGTTCCATTGTCCATAGCCATGTACAAGATCAGCACAGGTTCAAGGGCTGGGGCCACAGACTCTATTGGTGGGATAGCTGCAAAGTCCCTTTGCCATGGGCATAGATCCAGAGGAGAACAGCAGTTGTGGCCATGTCATCACAGAGGGAAAATCTGATATCATGAACCCTGGGCCATAAGATCAATTCCCCTGGAAGCTGTGGGGTGAGCATTGGGTAAATGTTTAACCCATTTCTGCAGTGTCCTCACTCCTTACAAGGGTCTCTGTGTTGCAAGTTGGAAGCCTGTAAGTTGACCAGTGCCTATGTGAGGACCTCTCTTTGATTCTCACCCACGGTAAGACCCTGTGGGGGCTAAAACTGAATCAGAACGCCTTGGACTACAGTGGGGTTGTTGTGCTGTGTGAGGCCCTGAGACACCCAGATTGTTCCCTGAGCCTGCTCAGGTGAGGCAACATCTGTTCTCCTTGGTGGGGAGTCTTCAGGGATAAAAAGGGATCAACTGAGACCCTAAGTGTGCAGCTGCTGCAGTGAAGTCTCACTTTCTTTCTTTAAAATTTTTATTTTTTATTATTGTACTAGAGGTACATTGTGACATTCATACACATTCTTGTAATATATCATAGTTGAATTCAACACCTCCATCATACTCCTTTAACCCCTATCCCCCCCACTCCTGGAATAGTTTCAACACATTTCATTTTTCCATTTTCATACCCAAGGTACATGATATATCTCTCTACCATGTTACCCTCCCATACCCCTTCTCCATATCCTCCCCCTGCCACTGGTGCCAACCTCAGACATGACCTGCTTTACCCTCCTGTTCTGTTTTTGAAAAAAGACATGTTTGTTTAATATAGCTCTACAGAGCCAGCTCACGGAGAGTGATTGACATGAAAGTTGTGTAAGAATTACAATGTCTCAATAATCACTCTACATATATGATCACAATCACCCATGACCATTTAAGGAAAACTCACAGGAAGGCTGGTGATTCTGCTAATACAAGAAGATGTAAATGACATGTCAATGACCTAAAGGCCACTCTTGTTCACTCCACCTGTGCTGAGCTGGAGTCTGGGCAATAGGTTTTGACAGCCTTTACCTCCTTTTCCATAAGTGAACAGTAGGTTGTACCATAACATTTATGTATATGATTGTTTTACTCTCAAGATTGATGTTGCTAGGCATGTACCAAACACTCCCTTATGTTTCCCTGCTTCACCACTTATGTCTACCTCATACCTAATAGTCTACCCTCAAGGACTGGAGACCCTGAAGGATTCTCTGTTGTAGGCGTCTTTGATAGCCCCATCGCTCATGTCTAACTGCTACCTATCACTATCTCCAGCATTACAACAACAATATTAATAATAGTGTATAATATAAATAATACAGCCAGGTGAGGGGTGTCCTGTAATCCCAGCACTTGGAAGGTTGAGGCAATAGGATGACAAGTTTTCAGCCTGGGGTATATAGTTAGATCCTGTTTCAAAAAAATTAATAAATTAAAAAAAAACTTCAGGGTTCTCCCAATCCTCT